TAGTGATACTGCCTCGGAAACCCAAGGAGGGGTCGCTATGAGTCGGGGCCGACTCGACGGCACATAACAACAACAACACTCACAGTGTGAATATAGTACAAGCTGCGGTAATTTTTCTGTCATGATTCATATTACCCAGTAATTTTCTCTTTGGACTACCAGATCTCTTAGCTCTTTGTGATTTCTTGTGGCTTTCACATGATGTGAAATTATTACCTACCTATTCATTCCACCTCTTTTAGCTCACTCGCCTGCCACAAACAAATGGTGTTCATGGGACAAGCCCAGTCATAAACTGAAATGCATGTGGGAGCACTGAAATTTTGTGCCAGAATTTGGTCACAATGAGATCACCCCGTTCATCTAGATTATACTTACCTTTGATGATCATCTAAATGATAACACAAAATTGGACAAATCCTCACAAAAATGCCTTAAAATAAGTCCACTTGCCTTCAGATTAAAGATTCCAGTTTCAGAAAACAGAACCGTACATTAACCCAAAGGGATTTATTTCTTCTGGGTCAAAGTTGTCTAGAAAGTGTTACCACTTCCGCATCTGATTCTAGCTCTTCTCTCTGCACCCTGAACAAGTACAAAGTGTGGTTTGTCAGCCATTACTGGGGTACCTTAGATAAGTTTTGGTAGTAAATCAACAAGTGTTTTTGTTTTGTTTAGTATTTTTGTGTTATTTTAATGTGTATTAAGAAAAGGCATAATGGATTCATCTATCTTGAAAACACCTGTGCCCCATAGACACATATTTCAGATATTATTGGCTTGATATACAGCTAGTGTTTAAAAGTGAATCATTTTAAAATCATTTTAAAGAAAAGTGTTAAGTAAGTAAAAGTAGGGGTGGTTCTTGAAAGTGTGAAAGTTGCCAAGGTGGTACAAGTGGAACCCTTCTACTCCAGTAGAACATTTGGTAATGGGATTCCTTCTCTTTTTTTCTTTTTAGTGATAAGTCAACCAGTTATACAAGTTGAAGTGATATTGCCTCCTGTGTCTTACCCCCTAAAACATCTTTATTTTCACTCAGCTACACATTGTTGTCAGCAAGACTTTGGCCAAAGTGATTATTGACTGCAAGCAAGTGGATGAGAAAGCAATAAATGCATCGTCTAATATCACATCAGATGGTGTGGAAGTCCTGGGGAGAATGGTTAGATCACGAGACCCGAAAGGAAACTCTGTACCAGTAAGTAGATAAACAAGTGAGGCTGTGTTATTGCTATAGAAGAAAAAAATATTTCAAAAGTGTACTTAGCTATTTTCCAGGAAGTAAATGTACTGGATGGATGGGTGGGTGGGTGGACGGATGGATAGATTGATGGTATGTCTCTGCTGTGTTTTAAGGTGAATGCTCCAGGAATTAGGCTATATATTTTCTAAATACATTTTCAAATTAAAATAGTGAAATATTAATTATCTAATGGTTTTGGCATAGTTTGTTAATGAGAATCAAGCAGTAGACAAACTCATTTATAGGCCAGTAAAAATCCATACAATATGTGGCTATAATACACAGCAAACTGACCTAATTCCCTTATTCAAGTTAAATGTAGGCATTTTTCATGTATGTAACATAGAATTTAAGACCGGGAGACTTGCAACTGGCAAAAGAATGACATTCCCCTCACTCACTATCCACAAAAAACAGTCATGCACAAAGAGTTTTGTTTAACACCATGAATTTACAGCTCATTAGGAACATTCTCTAATTTGAGTCACCTATAATTAGAACCCAGTAGCCTGAAAGATTTTGATTCTTGTAAGCAATTCCAACTGTGCTGATCTGCATTCTCTTCTATACAGTAGAATACTCAAACTAGTTATGAGTCACTGCTGTTATCTTCTGCTTTAATAAATCTGTAGAATTAACCACCTATTAGGGAATGGTTGAAAGATCTGGTGGTTCTGAAAGTTTTAAAAGTTAAAGATCACTTTATATAAATGAAACCTTATGCTATGTCAAATCAGTAAATAAATAAAATTAAAACAGACTCATGCTGACTAAATGGGAGGGGACATGGAATAGCAGAGAGCCCCACCTTCCAGTGGCCCCTAAGGGAGCTTCATGGATCATAGTTCTAATCCCATGCTCTAGTCTAACCCTGTTGACTTCACATCAGAAAATGGTCCCAGGGAAGACAGGGGAAACCCTTGTGTCTATGGGACATTTATGCTTTCAGACCTCGACAAATGTGTGCTAATTCATTTTACACTGAGGTTTGAAGTCTCTTTAAAATTACTTTTGTTTTTACTTTGGTTTGGAGATCTATAGATTACATATATAGAAAGAGAGAATATGAAAAGATACTGAAGGCTCTCTTCTTTTTCACTGATGGTGAGGACTTTGAAAAATATATATGTGGTACTGTGGAGTTCCCTTCCCTTCACGAGCAGCATTTGATGTGAATTCAGAAATATGCCATCTTCTGCCTAATGGAAGATACTCCCATAATAGCCCACTCAGGAATTCATAAAAATTAGCAGACTAAAGTTACCTTGCATGAATTAATGGATGCTTGGGTGAATGAATGGATTCAGATTAGGAAAGAGAAACAATTCTAGGTATACGAAATGCTGGGCCCAAACTATGTGGTATTCCCTTCTTTTTTATTTGAGGAATAATGCATATAAAATCCCTGACACAGTCAGCATTCAGTGATTAGTAGCTACTTTTATTGAAGGAATTCAGTAATACCTTCTCCATCCCACTTTGCTCTCTCACCTCTCCAACTCTAGCACGTATCACTTGGTTTTTGGTAGTCATGTATTCTCACCCTTTCATATAGCTATGTCTCCTCCTTAGGCAAGGTGTAAATTCCCCCAAATAGAAACCACGCCATGGTCTTCGTTTGCATCCACCCTCTTATGGCCCACACCACAGTATCTAATAAATTTCTATGTGTAGAATAAGTTGTCAAGGGATATTTGATATAAATTGATCAGAATATTGGCCATTTGAATTGTATGATGTCATTTCTTAAAATTTTGTTTGGTATAGACAGGTATGCATTGCTTAACATCCATGATATGTTCTGTGAAATAGGGCGTTCTGTAATTTGGGCGTTGTGCAAACACTATATTAAAACCTTGTGGGAGCCTGTTCCCACCATCTTCCTCGTCTCTGCTGCCACTGCAGCTGCTGCCTCCACTAAGGTGGGTGAATGGCCAGAGGAGCATTAGCAGCAGTGGAGTGAGAGGAAGTGAGCAAGGAGAGAGTGGAGTGCACCCAGCCCTGCCCGCTAGACAGAGCCAAAGCCTCACCTGCCTATAAACCACCCATGGTACAGTGCTGTAAAAGTCTGGATTTGAGGTCTTTAAAACCATTAGGGGAAAATAATAATGATAATAATAAAAGGGAGAGCTGGTTTCCCTTTACAAAACAAAACTTTATAGGACCACTAATGTATAGGTGGGAATTACTCGAATGAACTTGCCTGAACGGAAGTTAAGTGATGCATACCTGTATATTGTATTCCATGTGTGGCATTGAGAACGTTCTAGTAATGTATAGCATACTTTCTCCTAATTACAATTTGTATTGTACAATTACACTTTTATTGTTGTATTACAAATTATACTGTATGTAATAATAATTGTATTCCAAGTATCTGACTGATTAAATGTCAAAGACTTTATTTCTGAAAGCAAAAGTGCCTGTAGGTTTCAAGTCTGTCATCAATAAGTCTTTACTTCTGGCCATGAAAGAAAAGAATTAAACAGAGAGAGCACACTAAGTTCTGACCAAGAGTAGACAAAGGGGAATTTATAAAAGTCAATAATTAAAGAGTTCTTTGTAAGGCTAGTGGGAAAAAAGTAGTGGCTTTTGTTAGATTCCAGAAGTCTACAAAGGATTGCTAAGTAGAATTTTAGTCTGCCCACTTATTGGAGAATTTGATTATGTTGAAATAGATGATATTAGATTAGCTCTCAAGAATGTGATTGGAGACTCAGACTTGCTTTTTTGGAGCTATGACTTAATTGTTTCAGCACAAAATGAGAGAATCCTGTCTTCCATTTTTTATTTAGAAATCAGATTGCTAACATAATCTTGATATACATCTGACTCCAGATCCCCTCAATGACCAATAAAAAGGAATGTGTGCTGTGCAGGCTCCTGATTGAGGAGCAATCATCATAGGTGAGGGACTAGTAACTTAGAGAAGTTCCTGGCAAATTCAGAATGACTCAAAAATGCCAGATGATGGAAGATGCAGTCTTTAAAGAAAACATAGTCTTTTTAAACCAAAATTGAGTTGAGACTAGATTAATGGATTTGGGGAGTCAGTTGCTACTGCCTTGAAATTACTCACATTTGTAATAAAAACAACTTGTGTTAAGCAGTTCAGGATCTTATAGGCAATGACAGTCCCTAGTGGGGCAAAACTAACAAGCAGGCTTAACTTTGCTATTAAAACGCATGTGGGAAGAAACTGAAGGATGTTGTTCTCCTTCACCAAAGAAAGGTTTCTTTGACCTTATTCTGTTATCTAATGAAATGATAATGTTGCCAATCAGAGATGATTCTAAAAAGAAGTTTGAGCTTCTGACATGAGATCTTGCTTCTTAGTGTCTTTCTTCCACCTTTTAAAATTGAAAACTTATGTAATTATAATATTTATTTAGACCTTTGCTATACAAAATAAAAGAGAAATATATGTCATGCCATGCAGTTGCCTATAATTTTATTTACTGAGATACAGCTTTTAGATGGAGCTCTGATAACAGTGCCTAAGGTATCTAACTGCTAACCAGAAGGTTGGTGGTTCAAACCCACCAGCCACTCCATGGAAGCAAGAATGGGCAATCTACTCCCGTAAAGATTCACTACCTCAAAAACCCAATGGGTGTCTCCCTGAGTCAGAACTGACTCAATGGCAGTGGTTTTGGTTTTCTTTGGTTTAATATAAGAATCAACAGACTAGTCAATGAGCCAACAGAAATGAACGTTGTTAAATTATAAGGAATTGATTGTGTGTTTCACATGAATTATCTGTTAATCCTTACAATGATTAAAAACAAAACAAACAAACAAAAAACCCTGCCATCAAGTTGATTAATAGCCACCCTATAGGACAGAGTAGAACAGCTCCATAGGGTTTCCAAGGCTGTAAATCTTCATGGAAGCTGATTGCCACATCTTTCTACCATGGAGTGGCTGGTGGATTAGAACCTCTGACCTTTTGGACAGTTGAATGTCTTAACTGCTGTGCCACCAGAATGTCTTAAAATGATAACAGTACCTGATAGTTATTGAATGCCCACTATAAGCTCCAGAAGGAAGATTAGGCAATCTCCCTCTGTAGTGATACCGCCTTGGAAACCCAAGGAGAGGTTACTATGAGTTGGATCTGACACAACAGCAGTGAGTTTGGTTTGGTACTATGAGCTCAGTGGTATGTACTTTTATGAGATTATTTCATTTAATTCTCTAATAACCCTAGGAAGAGATCCTTTTATTATCTCCACTTTATAGATGCAGAAACTAAGACTTGATGAATTTAGGAAGATAATCCTTCCCAGAGAGTGAGGAAAGGAAGATAGGAGACTATACCTGACTCACATAAGGTTACCTGCCTTCTATTCTAGTGCTTTCTTCCATCAGGTCAAACTAAGTTGATTACATAAGTTAAGGCAGAGAAAGGAGCCTGGTTTGCACCAGGGACCGTATGCCCTGTGTGATCACTCACATGTTCAAAGGCTCATCATTATTTGAATTAAGACCTCGAAAGTAAAAATGATCAAACTATCCCACCCCTCAAAATCTGTCCATACCTAAACATTCTAATATGCTACCAACAAGTAAAACAGTGACTGATTTTCAAATCCTAATTCAATTAGCACCTTCATGGCTCATTTTTTAGTGAATTGATTACAACCATGTGAAAACACTAAGTTCTTTGCTTGACAAATGGCAAGTGCTTACTTCATCTTAGTTTTGATATGGAGTCAATAAAAGTTAACATCCAATAGAAGCAGAGCATGGTCTCTGCCTCCTAACTCTTAAGCCCAATGCACTTTTTTTGGTATTCGTGTGCAACGTAAAATACTCAGAATATGTGTATCAATTCAAGTCTGGATTGATTTCAAATTGTAAATTGAACTATGTTATGCTTAAAACAAGAGGGATGACATCTGGTATTGAGCGGAAAATGGAGTCAGGGGGAATTTTAATTTCCATTCACAGAT